CTAGTGTCTCGCAGGAATGGACCACCCAGCAGTACGTTTAGCGGACTTGCGCTGTGATGAACGATCTCAGCAGCTCAGAAGCTGACTAGAACAGCTCCGTACTAGGAGGATTCCTACACGCGTTGATGCTGTCCGCCGCGAAGAAGTTCATCGTTGCGGAGCTCGGCGATGAACGGTTTCCCGACCCCGTGCATGCATTCGTGCAGTTCCTGAGCATGGTTCCTCCTGGTCCCGTCTCGATCACCTGCAAACTCTTGCGCGTTTCCTCACGGCAGTATGTGGTCAACGTGGAGCTGGTACGCTCTCACACCGCGCTGTGGAAGAAGCCGGAACTTCCGGCTACTGTCGGAATCTTCACATATGGTGACCTATCCAAGGAAAGAGGTCTGTCGCAGGCCAGCGACCCTGCTTTGAGGATCCCTGCTCCTCCGCGTGAGACCGAGTGCGTCACCATCGATGACCCAGTGGTTGATGCGACTCCCGTCACGCGGAAACTGCACTGGGTAGCGCCGAGGTCCGCAAATGGGCTCTGGGGTCATCGATTGGGAGGGCATCACCGTGAGGTCTGGTTGTCCTTCCGCGACGGGTCGACGATCTCCGACTGTCTGCATCTAGCCTTGCTGTCAGATATGGTGAGGCCACACGGAAATCAACCACGCGTTGCTTGCTGAAAGCTAATCAACCGCCTCAAACAGCCCCTTCAGCCTGCCGCAACCCACCAACCAGGCTTCTACAACCGCTACGCACTGTCCACGCTCTGCTTTTCCGTCGAGTTCAAGCGACGGCCCGACCCGTCCACGCAGTGGGTGATGATCCGGTCGAACTCGCACATGGTGTCCAATGGCCGCTATGATGTAAACCTTCAGATCCTGGCGGAGAACGGCGATGTCCTGGCTCTCAGCAACCATGTCCTATATATATCAGAGCTTCGTCCACGAAAGGGATCTAAGATGTAGCCAGGAATTCTTTGGCTTGGGCGCAGATTTGTCCCTCTCTTCGTTCTAATTGTCAAGCTATATATAATATCACAGGCTACAGGAAGAGCCTACTATCCAGCACGAACAAGGCACCTCTGCCTTGATTGCTGCAATCCGCCATTCAAGTAATCCGGACATCACATGGACACTCAGAAAATTGTCTAGTCACTTGTCTTTTGTGTAGTACTCTCCTTACAGCATGATCTTCATTGGGAAATGAAAATAGGGCTTAGGGCTAGGGCCAACTTTTCTAAATGAAGGATATGTACACCCAAGAACAGACTGAACATCATATTGAGCGCCAGACTTTTCTTCTAGACTAATGCATGCACAACCCGGCAAAAGTACGATGACACCAGCATGAGCACTTATGTATGACTCCTCTTAATGTGACATGTCACATCTTGCCCTGCTCCCGCCCACCTAATGTACCATGATCACGCATAGTACAGTTCTAGCCCTCCATCCCTCAATCCAGTTCGTATTTCCACTTTTCTTTCCTTCTTGCTACTTGACTTTGGACACTGATCAGCCGCTCCAGCCGCTATCCAGTCAATAATTCTCAAGCAGCCCCACCGTAGATATCATCCATGTCGTACCCCCCATGACCGTTAAAGTACAAACCCGCCATATCGAACTCATCATGTTCAATAGCAGGCACATCGATATCCCCGCCGGCAACATGACCGATCCGCCGACCTTCCTGCTTGACAGCACCGCCAAAGGCAGACGAGAAGCTCTCGGCGGCATCCTCCATCTTCATCGAGGCAAATGAAGCAGACGAGCCGGTGGGCGTACTCGCACCCGTCAGATCATGCACAACCGCCGAATGACTCACAAGCCCAGTGAGGATCTCGGCAGCCTCGCTCTTCACTTTCTTGTCTTCCTCGGATAGCCCGTCGTCGAGGAAGATCGCCTCCATGAATGACATGCCGCTGCTGCTGTTGTTGCTGCCGCCTCTGCCCTGGCCGCGTTTGGTCGGGGTCGAGAGCACCTGGCTGACTGTGCTCTTCCTACTTCTCCCGGTGGAAGAAGAGGGTTTGGTGATTCCGCCGCGTGGTCCGCGCGGGGTCCGAGGCGTGACGCTGCTGCTGCCTGTGGTGCCATTCCGGCCGCGCGGTAGCTCGGTGATGCCCCTGCTCAGAGCTTCGGCTTTGACTTCGTCGGCCATTTTGCGGTAGCGGCGGAAGCGGCCTTCGATGGCGTCGTAGGTGGCTCCCTGGCCGAAGAGGGTGGCCATTGCTTGGTATTCGAGCTGCGGGGGAGTGAGCCTGGTGTTTGTGTTGGGGGTGAGGAGGTAGGAACCTTTAGGCCTGGGTGAGCTGCGATGAGCACCGCGATCAGACGGTCGGTGGACTCGTTGGCTTTCCAGTTGACCATTTTGTATGGATTTTTGGAGGTGATTCGGGGGTGTGTAGTGGTACTTGTATTTGAGGTGTGATTGGAAGGAATAGCAGTGCAAATTGCTTGGGTTTAGGTAAAGTAGATGGCATCGAAGTAGCCCAGGGACATTTATAGGGATTCTGAGAGAAGTGTGTTTCTGGAGATGGCAATGTGTAGTGGTAGGAATCACAGAAGAGACCTAAAGTTTGAGTGGTCAGCCACAGACTTCACTCTGATTTATATGTAGACTGACTCGAAGGTTAGAGAAAAGGGCATAATTACAACACAGAACACTGGGAGTCTCTGTCAAAACTTCCAAGTTGTAGGAAAGATGCAGACTGGAGATAGTCTGTGAATGTCAAGGTTGAGTACAGGTACAAGTAGAAGTGAATCATCAGAGCACTAAGCAGGTAGTAAGGAGGGGAAAAGAGTATTTGACAGAAACACATACATACAATCTTTAAATCCACAAGAAAAAGAATAAAACCCCTACAATCTGCCTTGGATGTTGTAGTTCTCGAGACTTTGTGAATGCGCGTTGGCCACACATCCTTGAACTTAAACCAATGGCGATCCCAACAATTGACCAAACACATGAGCAGGAAGAAAGCATCAAACATCCGATGCAGATAATCTAACGCCATCACCCATACTAGATGCTTGGATAGTTGATAGATCCATCGGACAGACAAAATGCAGGAACATCCTGGACAGTGATGATGCAAAAGTGGAAGGATTCTGGCGATGACTTGTAGATTTGAGGACTTTGGCTGGATTGTATCCCTACACCGCTTATCTGCTGTAAGAAACTAAAGTGACAGATGGATGATGTTAAAGCTTTTGTACAAGTGATCTGGTTGGGATACAGCAGGTTGTGGAGAATTACAACTCTGGCATATAAAATAGGTGTGAGGGGTGTGAGATGCTCCCTCAGACTGTCCCCCTCCTAGAGTTTTATATGAGGGAATTACAACAACACCAGTGAGATGTGGATGATCTTGTACTTGCATTCGTGGGATATTCACTGCCAGAGCTATAGAATTACACTCACACAGAGAGAGAAAAGGCTGAGACCTGCTTCTTCGTCTTCCTCTCCTCTTAGTACTCCTCTGCAACACATTCCCTCGCCTCTTTACCTTCTTTACTCTTCTTACCTTGACCTATCTTGATATCTACTTTCTCTACCTCTACCCAGCTTTCTCCTTACTCACTCTTACTCTTCAAATCTCCTCTACCTTTTGAACATACCCTCCAGCTACTTACTCACACTTGTCTTTCACTCTGCTAAACACACTCAACCTCATTAACAACAAACATGCCTATGCGCTGGACCCCCGAAAATGATCAGCTTGTGAGTACACTCCCCTCACTATGGAAACCAAGACTGACACCACGACTCAAACACCAGCTTTTGCTGAAGATCCTCGAAACTCATGACCTCTCCGTTGACACAAACAAGGTAGCTTCGGCCTGGCGTAAGTTCCATGATTCAAGTCCTCTATTCTAAACATCATAAATGACAACCACTAACACTATACAGCTGGCACTGATGAAAATGAAAAACCGACTCCTCGCGCCATAAGGGAGCGTCTCGTTAAGATGCGCCAAATCGTGAAGGCTTCTGGCAGTGATGGTTTCTCCATTGGTGGCAAGACCGGCAGCGAGACGTCTACTCCCAAGAAGGCCAAAAAGACAGCTACCCCCGTCAAGACTCCCGGCTCCAAGCGCAAGCGCGGTGGAAAAGCTAGTGCCATTGCCGACGCAAACGAGAACACCAACCCTCTCAAGAACGAGGAGAATGCCACCAGCCCGGTCAAGATGGAAACCGGCGAGGACGAGATCGACACCCCTACTAAGAAGAAGCCTCTCCACCCGACTCTTTCAGGAAATCAGGCCCAGGCCCAGAGTGGCTTCGTGAAGACCGAGGGATCTGATGAATCCGTCTTTGGTATTCTAAACACTCCGACCAAGCGTTCCCGCAAGGCGAGCGTTCTTCCCGCTGGTATGGTCAGCTACAATGGCGACGAGCAGGGAGAGGATGATCCTGAGAGCTCTGCTTCCGAGTTCCTTCCTGACGAGGCGGGTGTCAAAATGGAAGACATGGACATGATGAACTTTGCTTGATTTGATGCTGCAGGGCCCGCTGGGTTTCTGGTTCTTGTAGCTGGGGGTTGGTTGCTGGTTTGGAAATTGCGAAGGTAGCAAGGTCTACTTATTCTTTCCTGTAGCTAAGGTAGTGACAAACACACTATGCAATCTGTGATTATAATTGCCAAAGGCCGCAGACGAGTAGTTCTTACAGTACTGCATTAGTGATTGCTCAAGGACCGTGTCGCGGAGCCCACCTACGAGGGAACGATCCTGCTGTATTACAGACGAGCATGATACACCTATACATGTTGCCTAAGTCCAGGACCTACAGCAAAGGCGCAACATCTCAACTTAACATTTCAATCCCCAGCCGTATTCCAGATAACGACTGTCCTAAGAAGCAAGTACCACAGGCACTGTCTAAGGACTGGGTTCGCCCCCATAAACCGTAAATCCCAGCTACAAAAACCAGAACACAACGCACCAACACAAGCAAGAACGCAACCATCATCACCAGGGAACTGATACATGGAAGCAAATCAGACAAGCTCAAGCGCTGTCAACAACAGAACCGTTCTCCTCTTTCTTGTCTCTCTTAGCCTTCTTAGGACTGGCCTTGTCTTTGTCCGCAGCGTCACCATTGGCGTCCTTCTTTCCGCGGCCACGTTTGCGTTTCTCCGGGGTAGCAGGGGCCGAAGAGTCGCCATTGACAGCACCGCCAGCCCTAGGATCCATTCTGAGGCGCTGAATTCTGCGCTGGATAGCGATAGTAGTGCAATCTATGGTCATTTCGTGTCAGCAAGCTCCGCTCCATATAGTGCTTGTAGCTGTGGTATAATTTGTGTGGGTACTAACCGGGTCCCATGTGCTTGGCAAGGTCTTCGTAGTCAAGCTTGATGTTGCTGGTAGTGAAGATCCTGAGGAGAAGCTGTTCTTGTCGGCCTTGGTGTTATTTAAGCGGTGTTAAAATGGGGCGCACCTTTGCATCAGCTTCGTGATCCCAAGTCATAGGCATGATGTCGGCTATTTTGGAGCTTTAAGGACAAGACGGCTCGTGAAGTGAGGTTGTGGTTGAATCAACGTAAAGTTTGATTGAAGGCCTGGTTGATGGAGTGGAATATGAGAGTAAGAAGAGATCTTGAGAGATAGCAGGCTGATGTAGAGTAAAAGGACGATGGTGTTGTGAGAAGAAGAGGAGAGGGAAGTTCAAAAGAGCTGGGCTGTATCTGTGTTGCTGTAGCTGTGGCTAGCGAGGACCTGAAGCGGAACCGGGGCTAAGTAGTTATTATTCACCTGGAACAGTAACACAGTTGCCTTATTCAAGCAGATGGTGCCTCCGCTGGACTTAAAAGTAGTTGCCCTTTACCAAGCTGAAGGCTGATTGAGAGGGTCAAGAGGTCGAACTGGAGGAACCAGAGGGCGATACAACAGGTCATAAGCCTTAGGCTAGAGGCTGGCGTGTTTTTGTTCTACTCGCAGAACAGGCAAATATGAAGAGCTCTGGAGACGATGCCCTCAATTCATATTCAAAACACTCTTAGAGAGCTAGGTATCTCAAGATGTCAAAAAGCTTACTAACCACTATCTAGAGCACTCGAATATAAACTTGTTGTATGCTTCAGGATGGTAGGATGAGAAGTAGTCATCGTATAATAACTCTTCTCTGGCTTTCTTCCGCGTCTTCAAATCGTCGAATTGCCTGAATACTCGACCGAGGGTAATATAGAGCTCTGCATAAGCGAGTCTACGCAGTGTAAGCGTGACAACAATCGCGATTCAAATATGATTCAAGTCAATATGCACTGCATCCCAACACATTGCCGCGGGCCCTTGCCAAACGAGAAGAGGTGCTTTTCGAGGGCGTTGTGTGTAGCAGGATCCTGCCAGCGTGTCGGATCAAACTTCTCTGCGTTCGGAAATAAGTCCTCGCTTCGATGCACCATCCACGAGCTCATGCTGACGGTAGTCTATATCGATTAGTATCACCAACCAAGAAAAGGATACATCGGTCATACCCCTTCCGGGACATGATAGCCATGGAACTCAGCACCTGGCTTGGGAACGGTTCGTGGAAGTCGGCCAACGACACCGAATGACAATCTGGGTTGTGTAAGTGGACTTCTCATAGTACGGTGGGATATGCTTACCGAAGGCCCTCCTTGATCACTGCGGTCTGCGGAATTTAGTGCATCATGCTTAAAGCCCGGCGATAGTATGGGTGCAACCTACCAAATAGGGTAATTTCTCAAGGGCCACAAGGTCCATTTTCGCTTCAGGGTCAGGAAACTTCTCTCTCAACTCTGCTGTCAAACGTTCATATATCTCTGGATTGTAGACAACATTATATGCTGCAATTGTCAATGCGTTGCCTGTTGTATCAGCTGCGGCGGCAATGAGGACATAGGCATCATCATTGAGTTGCTCGACACTGGGCACTTTGTATCCTTCCGTGTCGTCTGGTCGAAGCAGTTGGTGGAAGACTGTCTTTCGTGAGACTTTATCACCTCTTTCCACGGCCTCCTTGACTTTCAGAATCTGGTGCTTGCAACGCTGGACAGAATGCAAATCAATCCTGATCACCGACAAAAATTCGTCATGAGCAGGTGTTTCTTACCTCACGATACAGCATCATTCTTGACAGTGACTTGCTCACCAATTTGGCGAGCCAGAATGGAGTTTGAATAGCCAGATCTCGCATGGAGGGAAATTCCTGGAAGAACCACACTGTAGGACCAATGTCACGAAGCATCTTGGATATCTCAACGCCAAAGTTCTCCTTGTCCAAGCAGTCATAACAATCATCAAACGCATAGTCGGTGAGGACGTCAAGGGAAACTGCCCGAAATCCGTAGTGCAGGTCAATGTATCCCGTAGACTCGAACGCCGATCGCATCCGAGTCGTCAACTTCTGTGCCTTTTCTTGTACGACGTCTTCTAGCTCGAAGACATTTTGCGTGAAAAGAAAGGATTCAAAGCTGCTCGTCTGACCCGATGGAGGTCATTATCGGGAATGGTCAACATGGAATTATCTAAACCAAACGCACGGTAGAAGGCTGGACTTTTGCCGAACCGAGATCCAAAATAGTAGATCTTGTCAAGATCTTCTGGGTCGCTGAGGTGGATCTCGTCTGGTGTGATACGTACTATTGGGCCTAATCCTGGTAATCAGCAAGAGATATCGTCCACGATGAGGTGATTTGACTTGCCATATCTTTGATGGAGCTTCTCGATCTGCAGATAAAGCCTTCCGCCATGTGCATTGTACCAAAAGGAGTAAAAGAAGAATGCTCTTGCGAGAAGAGGTCCTGGGATCTTCGCCAACGGATGGAAGAATAATCGGTAGATGATAACCCAGACACCCCGCACCACGGTTACAGCGACGAGGATGGCTACGATGTACCATGTGATAAACATATTAGAGAACACAGCAGCGATATTGACTCTGTGGCCTTATTTGAGTGATTTCAGAAAAGAAAAGAAGCAGAATGGTTGAAGAATGGAAAAGTGATTAAGAAGTAGTGTGCAATGCCTAGGTAGGATAAATGGCGAACTTCAGTACGAAAGGCATGTCAATCAAGCAGAAAGCACCATGATACCAGCAGGATGCCAACCACGTCCCTCAAATCATACCTATCAGCATTACAATTGCATCATCAATCAAAACCTCGCTGTAGATCGTCCTACGTAGCAATGCGAGTCAGTAAGACTGATGACTATACCCTGGGGCCTGGGCATACAATCATGCACGGAACCGGACATTGCATGAGATGGTCAAAGAGTGTTACTGAAGTCGACCAATAGCCATTGGCCTCAAGTTAGTCAAGTATCACTGTCAACCAACCATCCCAAGAGCTACTGAATCACGGGTATATTATTCCGTCGTGGTCTTCCGTAGAGATTGGTGCTTAGAATTGTAGCCCCCCTCTACTTTCTGGAAGTCATGGGAAAGGCAACAAAGGAGTACCTACATCAGTGGTAAGGAATAAGGTATTTCCTTACATCCGTGAAGGATTAATGGAGTGATCAGGCATTGAAAAGGCAACGTTGAGAGTCGACTCGGTTAAGGACTTTATCGCCATAGCTGACTTGGACCAACCTGCGCATTGGCAAACCGTATTGTGAATTTGTGATAACTTGGTCAGGTTCACCACAGCACGCAAAGTCTTGCAATACTCTGTCTTATGGATTCATATGTTTTGAATCGACTTCTGAGACCTCGGGCTTCTCGAGTACCAACAACATTCTACGAAAAATGCTAGGGTATGGCGGATTTTCAGACCTTACTTTGTTCTGGCTCTCATAATTTGGATTTGTAGCGATATCTCACGGTTCTCACCCCGTCATTTGTCAAGCAACCCTCAGCGGACGAAACAACACTGTTACATAGCACAGGGAAAGTGATGCAGAAGATCGAATACTGTGACACACAAAGATTTTGTCGAGAGTATTGTTTATCCCTTATCGCGGGTATCCTTCATTTCTCTGGAGTCTGGACGTGTTTCGGAGCAGACTATGTGCTTTAGTGGCAGCCGCATGGAAGGAGCTATATTACCATGCGTGCTACTACCACCACATGGGTATCCCTGTAAGTCGAGAAAATCCGTTGTAAAGTCAACGAATTGACAGTCGGCAGCAACATCAGCCCTACAGACGTTACCTACACCCAGGTCCTCATCCTGTTTTGATTTGCTGCGCACAACAGTCCATACGACAATATGCGACGGCCAAAAGCGAACTACAACAACATAACCTCATAAATGGCATGCACGCCTCAGCCTGGCATAATGAATCTACCTCCTGCCTCATCTACTGATTTCGTAGGGAAAAATCAGAAGAGCGGGGTCAAAGAGGGACAGAATCAATACCCCTCAGGGTCCACCGCTGAAGTGGCCGCCAAGCGCCTTGATGGCAGCACACAAGTGGGGATAACCCTCAGCTTCAAAGCCTTCAATATGGCGGTGACTGCATGCTCCTGTACAATTGTGGCTGGTGGTGGAATACTGTTGCCTAAGATTTTGCGCAGCTCAGGCCAAAAGGGGATACGCTCGCACAGGGCCAGGGACGCTGTTCGCTGCTCAATGTCGCAGCTGCCACAGTGGTATCCACTAGAGTCCAAAAACGCGCGACATGCGAACAAATAAGTCAAAGCCAGGTGGTTAGCATGGTCTGTCGTGCTATAAGCTATGGGCAAGGCCCACATTTCAGGACACTGATGGTATAAATATGAAGCTGTTTTCCGACAAGGAGTATTTCAGGTCAATCAGTGTCATTCCTCCAAGAGATCACCTTGAGATTTTCCTACATTCAAAATGAGCTTCCACCTCAGCGCTGAAGACATCCGTATCCAGGATAATCATGTACTCGTTGCTCGACTCCGCGACGCCAGTGGTGAATTGCGAGACGCCTCGATTGACCTAAACAACTACCTCGGAAACGACAACGGTACTTCCACCTCTTGTGAATGGACCCCATGCAGAACTCCAGATGACTTATAGATGCAGGTCACTTCCAATGGGAAGGTGTCAACTTCTCTGAATGCGCCGAGAATGTTCACTTCGCTATCGAGGGAGGCGGCGAGGTTCCCGTCCTCCGGGCTCGGTTGGCAAATGTGGACGGCGAATACCAAGATGCTGACGTCAATCTGTCTGAGCGTATTGAAAATATTGATGGCCGCTTCGTATTCCAGTGATTGAGGGTGAGTTCATCCATGGGCTGTTACGCAGCAGACCGGTTCCGCAGATCTAACATGGCCTAGAATAGTCACGGCGGAGTCTGCGCACATTGTTAATAAGATGATGAGACTAAGGCACTGTATATGAGGTTATGAATGGTTCATATGGTTGCGCTGTAGGGTACTTCTACCGCCATACCACCATCTCGGAGATAGTTTCCAAGTGGCGAGCATAGTTTCTCATTGGAGAATATGCATATTCCAGTAAGAGCACATGGTATTGGGGTACAGTGATTTTTAGAGAGAAGAAATTCAGAAACATGAAGCACCAGGGTATGCAACTTATATGCGCCCCTACCGTTGACCATGATAATAACCATCTTTAATCCTGTAACCCAACACCCTACCAAGGACGCCAGTTTAGAGCGCTCCAACTCGCAGAATAACATGGGTCAAACCAATCAAGCGCCTGTATTAGAACTTGCGCGAAGAAGAGACCATCCAGCACCAGAACAAAAGGGAAATAACGTAGAGACGAAAGGCAAAGAACTCGAAGACGTTGATATTACCATGCATGCCCTGCCGCGCTAGCGTCGAAGTCGTTACCGTTCCAGTCTTCGTCACCACTGAGCTCGTCATCAAGAAAATCTTGTTCATTGAATTGCAGTTCAGTCGGGCGCAGATTGTCAATTCTGACCATGACAATATCGCACATGCCTTGGATAAAAAGGTCTCCATCGCCACCATACGACGCTCGGTCTGGCGCGCTCAATTCCACATTATCTTCAGCTTCTGAATGTTTGCGTTTCGCAAGGCGTGCGCTTTTGCGCTTGGACGGCGTGGACAGGCCGCTATGGTGTGCTTCAGACTGAGAGGCAGCATCATTTTGGTCAGGCTGAGGAGTTCCCTTACGGAGGCTGTGAAGCTCAGGATTCGGAGGAGGACTCCTTCGCAAGAACACCCTCTCCATCCTTCCAATCCATTTCTCTCTGAAAGATGCGCGGTCACGCCATCCGATCTTCAGGATGGCGCTGATAATTAAACGGCGCAAGTTTGGAAGTTCCCTCGCGGAATCGATAAGAGACGTAAAGAATATCTCAGCTGTCGTGTCGTCCCATTTTCGCAATTGTATCAGCTCAATCTCTTGCAATGTGGCGGGCCAGGTTGGCACCTCAGAGGAACTAAGCAACTCGCGGAAATGTGGCTCCACATCGTGATAACTGGACCAGTCATGCATAGATATGTCCATCTTGAACCTTTCAAGGACCTGGCAAAACTCCGCTAGTCCTACAACAAATGACATACTTAAATGCCTGTTGTGACTAAGGTTGAGTTCCCGAAGATGTTGTCCATGAGCAGCGAGAAACGCACTGAGATTTGAGGTTGTTACTTCATCGCAGTTGTTGATGGTGAGGGACGTAAGTGTCGAGGGCATATTGAGGAGAAGATGCTCGTTGACAATCGAGCACTCGGAAAATTCCAGCCGATGCAAATATGGAAGCTCCTTGATCGCAGTAGCGAGAATCACTTCCCGCTCGTTGGATGGCTCTGCACTTCCATCGTGATCAATATCTTCTGAAGCGACATGCAACAGTCGTAACTCCCGCAAGCCCCGGAACGCCGGGTCATAATGTTTGCCGAGTAGGAAGGGAATCAATTGCTTCGTTTCCATAAATCGGCTGTTCCAATCCCAGCTGCGCACGTGAATCAAGCTGGAATTCATCGACTCGAATAGACTCTCGGGATAGACCCATTTAGACCGCTGTATCTGCCATGGAGCGAGACCAACAATGAAGTCATCTTTGTGATACAGCCGCACTTTCTTTACCTGGGGAGTCTTTTCGATAAGCTTTGGGAGTTCAAAATAACCGAGCGTTGGACCGCTTTTGTGGAGCAACAGGGTCTCCACGTCGACGTGCAACTCTTGGATCTTATTTCTATAGTTGGTTGAAAGTGTCTCCTGCGGCTGACATAGCAGGTTGAGCAGAGCATGGCATTTGATAGGTATCAGAGGCGGAGAATGGTAGAGGGCTGCCAATGCTGGCTCATGAAAAGCGCGGCACAACAAGGCAACGCTCGCAAGCCATTGCGCCGAACTGTTTCTAGTTGCCGTCTTCTCATCCATCAGAGGAAACGATGCACGGAAGAAGATGTCAAACAATATGTGGTAAGGAAGGGTGTGCCAGGGTGGTATGACTCCAGAGCCAACCGGGAGCATGTCATCTGCTTGAACTTTTGGACGCTTGTTGAGTGGTCTACCCAACTCCAGGCGGTTCTTGGCGGGGGCTCTTTTGGACCTTCTAGTCTGGGACCTAGTTTTCACCGTGCGATCGAGTCTAGGCCGAGAAGATGTGCCATTGGTAGCAGATTGGGGAAACGGATAGGTGTATCGAGTTGGAGCTTCAACAGGCACGACGGCTGAAGGGTCCTCGTTAGAAGATTGCTCAAAGTCATCATCTGTAGATTCCTCGCGATAAGAAACGGGGACTCTATTTGAACTGCGTGGACGCAGCGAAAGCGACACTCGTCTAGATCGTTCCTCATCAGAGTCGGTGTCTTCATTCCGCCGATCATCTGAACTGCTATCCTCAAGATATGATTGCACTCGGGTACGACTAGTGCGAATAGGACGGGACAAGCTAGATGTCCTCTGACGGGATGAGCGCATTGAGGAAGACATGATGTCGTAGAGTAGTATTCGCCGTAACTTCCGATAGAAGGTCGGGTCGGCAGCAGATAACACATGGCCCACCTGCCCGTCAGTTCCTCAACAACGGAAGTTCAGACACGACTGGGGGCGCAGGGGCTAGCATCATGAGTTAGTAAACCAAACGTCAGCAGTAGAGGCAATTAAATGAGCGATGGTTGAAGGAGATGGACTAGGAAGCGAAGCCTTAGGAGGGCTGAGAGGAAGAGAGAAGACGATGAGGTCAGTCGGTGTTGCCGTTCGATTATCGCCCTTGCAGAGGTTTATCGATAAGAGAAAATCAGCACATTCTTTATGCCTGAGGCCGTAATTGGCCAAATGTGGTTTAGTGGCGCATGTCACGGCAGCCAATAGTCCCAGGCACCGACTCCCCCGCCCCCAAGGCCACAAGGCTAGTCCCAGACTGGTAACAAGCAGAATCCCCGAAAATAGAAACAGTCAGCGGCCAGTCTTTAAGGCGCGAATCGTCCAGCCACTCCATCTCTCCTCTTCCCCCCGTTCCAGGTCGAGACCATGGCGTTTGCATGTCCAGATTTGAAATCTTCATCCCGTCGATATCAATGCTGAGTATATATCCGTAAATTGTTCACTCCTTCTTGACATATAAGCCGGCATATTTATGCGCTCGATCTGGGCTGGTCCCTGAGCTACATCTGTTCATTGCGATTCTGTCACATTTGGACATCATAGCATCTAGCGCTCTGATTATTCGCATTTGAGCTTTGGCATCTTGGGTGGATCTACTACCAATGCAAATGACTCCGAGTTGTCTATTCATACTGGGATCCACTTCGACCATTCAGAATTCGAACTCAACAAGTCCTTGTTTTCGTTCGTCTCGATTTGTTGATTACTAGCAATGGAAAGCTCGTTCACCAGTGTGATACCACAATCGGAGCCGAATGACATTGGAGGAACACCGGTGGTTATCCAGCAGTATGCGAGATACTCGTCTACGTTGGAGCCAGGGTTACAGAGTGGCTCTTCGTTAGGGAGCGCCCGCAGTCGGTTAGGAGCGTCAAAGTCTCCTCCCCTATATCGCAAAGCGACTCCTCGCAGTCTGCAATCTTCCCCTACTGGTTTACGGCCAGTCGCTCCTGCGACGTCGGCTACGCGCTCAGGGCCGTCGATGTCTCCTCCAATTTATGATACCATTCGTCAGCGACAGGCTAGGAATTCAATGGATCAGGCAGTCTCGCGGGGCCTGCCCTCTCGTGACATTAGAGATGAAAATATCGACGACGCCTACGTGACGTTCATTCTTTATTGTAACCCAAACGTTCCAATGTCCGCAGACACCACCGAGCTTCGAAAGACTTTCCGATCTCCGCCTCGGAGCGATGGCAAGAGCTTCAGCATCTTCACCCTCTGGGAGCTTATTCGAAAGCTGGACAATAAGGAGCTGAAAACGTGGATTCAGTTGGCGATCGAGCTAGGCGTAGAACCCCCTTCGGCGGAGAAGAAGCAAAGTACGCAAAAAGTTCAGCAATATGCGGTGCGACTCAAGGTTCGTTAAATTGCGCTTGGCTAAAGATGTCGCGAACGTGCTAATGTATAATAGCGTTGGATGCGCGCAATGCATGTAGATGCATTTTTCGAATACTGCCTTGGCCACCCTCATCCGTACTACACCCAGCTTCCGGCCTCCAATGCAGCGGTCAGTGACACTCGCGACGGCGTACCGCTAGAAGAAGACCTTGCCTTGCGTGCGCTTGTCCCTGAGTGGAAACCCAAACGTGGGCGCAAACGGGCCGACGAAAGGGAGCAAGCTAACGAGAAACCGGCGAAACGACCTCAGCTGGATACTTCCGTTGGGGTATTGCAGGCAGGTTCATTTGCAGACCAGTCCGCAACGTTTCCGCAGAGCGCCATCCCATTCAGTGCTTTCCCTGACCACGATTCATGGATGACTGCTGCATCATCATTTGCAGCTGATGGCTCTACTGACAACCAACAAGGCCAAGAGCTTCGGTGGAGACCTCTAGAGCGAGACGCATCGCCTGCTGGATATCCACAGTCAGCGATAGTTCCCCGAGGGCATCATCCATCAGAAGTTCTTCTGCCAACGGCAGAGCCACGCTCGGCGATCGATCCGTCCTCTGGTGAAAAGTCGCGATCTCGGAGGCGGCATGGTCCGGCGGTTTCTTCTGCCTGGCCTAACAGCAATGCATCGATCACTGGCAAGACTCGGGGCAGGCCTCCGCAGAGAGGCGTTGTCTCTGGTCCATTCTCCACGTTTCCTGTGAACCCTAGTCGGACTGATTCCAGGCAAAGTCAGGGTCCGGGATCAAGATCTTCGCCTGCTATTGTGGTAGAGCAGAATTCCACAACTCGCGGAGACTCCCAGTATCAACAGTCGCCCACTCCCTTTCCTCATGCGACTGCCAGACCAAACAAGCTTCAATTACAAGTTCCACAACACTTAGGCGGACCTGTCCGCCTTGCCACACCACCGACGCTAATGGTAAATGGAATGAGTACTCCGTCTGCCTCCCTTAAGGTGGAATCTAGTCATCGGAACGGCTCTACCGCTCATTCAAGTGACGTATTCGGCGGTAGTGCTATACAAACCGTCATGCCGCATACAAATACCGATTCTCTGTCTGATAACTGCGCGACCTTGGACATTAGCCTTGACGATGTTGCCCGTGTCCTGTCAGGCGAGTTACTCCGCGCAAAGCTTACAGGCAGAGCAGTACCTCTGAGCGCTGAAGAGGCTCGTTCCTTGGCATTCTCCATCCTGAGGCGTTTGAGTGCTAATTACATACGACTTCGCTCGGGGCTATCGGCTCTCGCGTCAGCTCTTTACCTCGGGCTTGGAGCGCATTTTGGCTTTACCAGCCCCGCCCCGAGCTCCATGACCGTGAATGTTGAAAGAGCGCCTATAGCTGCTGGGGACGGTTCAACGATGCCGGCCGATAGGATATCGTCCAATTTCGTCTATACGATTTCCCATGAATACAAACACGGTTCTCAGTTCTCCACAAAAGTCATGTACAGCGATACGGGAATCTCGAATATAGATGTCGGTAAACCTGAGGGATCGTCACGAATGACTGATGATATGGACAACGGCGTTATTGAACTTGACAGTATGACCGATGCGGAATACGAAATCGACGGTGCAGAAAGCACCGTGTCTGAAATGACATGGAAACAGCGTTATATGAAATTGCGAGCACAGATGCAGAAAAGGGAGCGGTCGCTGTCCCACTACAAACGCAAGATTCTCGAGTCGGTGATGGCAGACATATGATACGCCAACTTGTTTGCCTATTCTGAGTCGGCTTGCGCCAGCACGATGTTAATTCGTCTGCATATATCATCTGAATACTTAATGATACCCTTAGCTTTACCTTTCCATGCCACCTGGTGTTTGTTTTCAAGTCGATACTTTGACATGTTATGGTGTCATCTGCAGTAGTCGCGGTCTTGTGACGCTGGGTTTTGAAGTTCGAGTTGTGCTATAGATACCCCTTGTGCAAATGATATGCTTAAGATAAGACACGAAATCCTCCACCTTGGCATAGAACATATGAAAGAATAGATAGGGCTTCGTATTTCCTCGTGATCTATGAGAACCACTTGCGCCATGAAATATGACTGAACGTGAAAACAACAACTTGCAAGTCACAACTGCATCAAGAATATGAGGCCAATAGAAGGAACCAAATGTCCAGTTCCCAAATTTCGTAAAACGATATCATGCTGCAACCGCAGCCCGAAGCCGAGAACAGAGAATCAATCTACCTCCTTAGTCTCCTTGACCACATTGACCGTCGCCCTCGGAGTTTCAAAATTGGTCAAACAGCGTCTCGCCGTCGACAGCAGTCGCATCAGCGCCAGCACCTAGACCCTTCTCTTCAGCATCGGACACCTCTTCCTCCTTGACAGGGCTCAACCTCTGCTCAACCATTCTCTCTGCGCTCTCAACGACAGTCTCCTTGGACACCCGAGCTTTCTTGGCTCTGGCCTTGCTACTGTCCCCTGCAGGCTTGCGCTTCGCGGGTGAACTAGGACTCTCACTCTCGCCCGCCTGCTTGGCTTTGGTCTTGTTAGGAGGGCCAGCCTTGGCAGGTTTGGTTTTCTTAGGGGAAGAGTCTGGAGAAGCTCCTGCTGCGTCGGGTTCTGATCCGGGGGTGGTCTCGATCTTGTTCGCTGCTTCATTGTAGGCCTTGATCAAGCGTACGTAGCGTTTTGCACTGGGTGAATTGTTAGTTCTCAGGGGGGGATCTGTTTGTGAGGTCCTTGTGACGTACGCGGCTGCTTTGCTGACGATGTTGCATTCTTTCGCGACTTCGTTGAAGTCCACCTGGGATATAGTTAGTTGAGGTGATTCAAGGGAGGTTGGGGTTCGGAGGTGGGAGGAGGGGAGATGGGGCTCACCTTGCCGCTGTTTGAGTAGCGGATGCAGCTTAAGAGGAACTGGACTGTTTCGTCGGGGTTTGTGGGTGCCATTTTGATTGTTTGGCAGGCGAATTGGTGTTTTGAATGGTAGATGTAGGTATGATGTGAAGGTCGGGTGGTATATGGAGAGAGGTGAGGAAGTTGTCGAGAGGAGGAGTCTCTAGAGAGAATAAATAGAGCGAGGAGCTAGAGCGAGTGACCTCGAGGATTCAAAGACAGAGGTGAGTGAAAGGTGTTATGAGAGGCAGCTCCACACAGGTACCGAAAGGATAAAGAGATAGTCAGGAGAGGGGATGCGAGAGATGAGTGAATAGATGAAGTAGGTCAGGTCACTTATTCTGAGCTTGTGAAACAGTCAAGCGACAAGGTGACTTGCTTCCCAAGTGTTTCTAGGCAATGAGAAATAAGTATTGAACTAGGGGATGAATAGTTGAAGAGTCTATTGTTTTCTGGTTGGACTCACTTCTGTATGGCGCCTCCATCGAGTGTGTGTTGATTAGCGACAGGTCTTGGATAAGCGCTTTACGGATTCATTGTATACTATCTAACAGTCATCAATGAGCTGTCATTTGTTTTCTAACGTAATGGTACCTATTCTAGACCTAAGGACGAGCTCCAAACACATTCAATGCTTAGAAACCTCTCGGTAAAGAGATAGTGTCAAATAAGAAAACATCAAGGCTCAAAATCAATCATCATTTTTTTTCGGCTTATTACTCGTATCCTCCAGAATTCCCCTTTTTACGAGTCCAATAGCAATAGCTGTTTCCATCCTAATGTCGTTCGTCACGGTGATCCGAAAAGAGGAAATGTGTGCCTGTTTCGTACCTACACTATCAGTCATCGTGTTGCTATATGGGAAGTGGCGTGACAACTTACACTAGCAAGGCTCTCTGCAGGTCCTTTAATCTTCAGCTTTGATAGCGTCGCCCTCCATCTTCACGTCTTCGTTGTCCTTTTTGACCTGAATCTCGACAGACTCCATGACGGCGGGCTGCTGGGCGACGGCCTGCTTGCCCTTGCCTCTTGGACCGCGCTTTCCGGCAGGCTTTTTCGAAGGAGAGGCAGAGCCATCAGTGCTCACCGGACCAGTGGCGGGAATCGGCTTCGAGTTGGCCTTGGCTCCCTTGCGAGCAGCAGGCTTGCGACCAGGCTTGGAGGGAGAGGACTGGACGGTCTCGCCGGAAGACGGAGCATCCTCTTCGCCGGCAGTGCCATCTTTGGCAGCCTCACCAACAGCCCCAGCTTTGCCAGCCTTGGTAGGGGAAGAGGAGAACTTGCACTCCAGGTTTGGGAATCCATAGCGCTTGCTCAGTGTGCGAAGACGGTTGCGGGCTGATAGAACATTGCTGTACTTCAAGGCAGTGGCAACTTTGCCGATGTCGACCTGGATGTGTTGTTAGAGGTATTACATCTCTATAGTTAGAAACATAAAGAACTCCTTTGACTGACCTGCTTAGATTCGTTGAGATGCTTCAGGCATTCAATGATGAAATTGGCATCGGCACTGTTGATATCCTCGCCGTTGGTCTCGGGGTTGCTGGACATTTTCAGTGGAATAAAAGTACTAATAACTTTTAAACACGTCTTTGGGGAAGGTTAACAGGATCTTCAGGTAGTGAGGGTGCCTGAAGGGAAAGTTGAACGCGTTATGTAGGTACAAGGCAGGGCGTGATCGGGCTATGTGCCTGGTATTGAGGAGAAGAACAAAACAGGATCACAGACGAAGACGAGTGTGATAGGGGGTGATAGCTAGAAAGGAAAGAAAGAAGAGTAAACACGTACACAGCACATTTTTTATAACAGCACGCCGAGAGGTAGGGACTGGTGATCGTTACGGCAACGCAGAACTGAGATATCAATGCTCGGTGATGGACCAAATCACAGATAAACTGACGCCAGAGACTCACTAAATTGAAACTCATATCAAGTCAATTTGTATAACACTAGATTGTCTCGATCCTTCATTCTGTTCTATGTCTGTTGGAGGAGACTCTAAGGAACGGTTCTAATATGAGTAGCCCAACCAGAATCTGAAAGAGACTTACTGACGGGATAGTCACAATTCATGGTCCTAAAACACCAAGGGATAGTATAGTTAATTAGCTAGTCAACCTTCATTGGAAAAGTTAGGCCAAAGAGTACAATTGCAACGCCAATCCTGTCAGATTATATGTCCATTACACACATCGAGAATCAAACAAACATAAGCCAAGCATCTTAACGCCTCACCATAAGTCATGTAACAGATGTTCTATCTTCATCACGAATCGCTCATCTACTCCCCTCCAGTCTTGTCAAATCCTCTCCTACTGTTCCTCCTGGGGCGGTTCAATTTTCACGCTTGCTTCATGCATTTTGCCTGGGGCTTCCGGCTCGGGTTCAGGCTCAGGCTCGGTCTTGATAGGAGCCCATGTGCTTGGGCCGGCCTGCTGATGAAAGGCCACAGGCGGCGAGGGTGGGAAAGCGGGAACAGGCGCGTACATGGTCAAAGTTCCCGGGGCCGCGGTCAGTGGAGTGTACGGAACCATCTGCGGTTGGACAGGCTGCGGATGCATCACTTGAGTGGAGACATGAGGAATGTCTGCTAAATTCTGGACTTCGTGACCGTAGGGGTCAACCTTGATGTAAGGGTTTGACTCGTACGCAGGACGGGCATTTTCTTGCTTCACTGGCGGCTGAGGGGAGCCCTTGTCCTTCAGCAGATCGGCTTTGCTGGCAATTCCCTTGCCGGTCTTTGCGGGGGTCTTTTTGGGGCGAGAGGAGCGCGGTGTAGATGTGATTCCTTCCATTTGCTGTCGAAATCGAGAGTAACGCATCCGAGCAGCGTGGCCGTTGGAAATTTCAAGCTGCGAAGCAACGAGGTTCCAGTCAATCTGTGGAGGCGCATTGTTAGCTGCAGTCCACAATCCTGGGAGTGCAAGAGGAAGACTGCTCGACTCACAGATTTCAAGTCCAATTGCTTGATAATTGTGTAGAGAAACTTGGCAGTAGGGCCATCAGTTGGCATCGCCTTGCTGCGTCTGACGGTTGTCATGGCTGACTTGGGAGCGAATGGTTTACTGATGAGAGGGGTATCAAGCAGAAAGCTTGCAGTAGAAGGTCCAGTTGTGCTTGGAAATTTGGGATGTTGAGATTGATGGAGGAAGATGCACTCTCTTGCACTGATGCTGGATATATAAGCCTCTGGTATTGGATTTAGCCCAACAGGAGAAAATGCTGTTGTTGTCCGCCACAACGGCTTCTTGCAGCAACAAAGAAGCTGTCTAGGCATGAGTGGACGAAGAAATAGACAAAGCAAGTGGAGTTGATTTTTGGGGATTCTGGTCGAATTGGATACCCAGAGAGTAGTTGGAGGCTGTAGCTATGTCTTCGTGTCATTCAAAGGAAAATCTTCCCGCAAATGAGACTCCCACTCATGAATCTAGTTTCTCATCGATGAAGTCAACCGCTTGGCTTTTAAGGATATATTTCGCAGCAGAGACATCGGAGAGAATACTTCTCCCATTCTCAATTTATTCAGGGTTTTGCTCATGTCTCATGTTACTGACGTGGGATCATTCCAATCCTTCTGGATTGCATTGAAAAGAGTTGCTATATGGCCAAACAGGACAGCCTTCTTTGTGATCGCGGCATAATATTTTCAAGACAAAGATGGATGCGCGGCTCATCTGAAGAAATTCTCAGGACTACCAGCAGTCATATTATGGTTTCTAGTGGCTTCAGACATAATGAAGGATTATGGTGCATGTGTTGCAAGGAAGACAGGATAGATAGACCTGTCATGCCAGCTCGACACCCACAATGCTTGTCAATGTGACAGGTCAGATTCTGTAGGTTAGGTGGGAATCTCTTCAAAATTCTACTACAAGAAAATCATCCATTGCGCATGCTAACAGAGTTATCTCAGGCAAATAGCCTCACTGAGTACGGTTTAGTTTCCATTCGGTAGCACCCAATCTACCTGGCTGTCAGGAGAGTCGAGATCTATTCTAGTCCTCCTGGAGCTGTAGTCCATGATAGCGACCATACATGGTTCCTGCAGCTCCAGCTCCGCTATTTTGTATCAGTTTCGAGCTAATCCTGCATCCTGAATTGCTTTTTATTTTAGCATCTTCAACCATGGTATCAGCACGCGTGCGCGTCTTAACGCGTGTGATGGCCGTTATGCTCGTTTTTCGAACCGGGTATAAGTACTTGAGCTGGTGATTCCTTCCATCATTCCATTGACACCTCAAGTTCCTCCATTAAATTATCGTTGCTCAGTTCCCCAATCGACTTCCTGTCTCTTAAGCCCGCTCAACTGTTGTCTTTATCTTCAACATTAAACAATGCCTGCATCTCGCATAAAATGGGACGACTGGAAGGACAAGGTGATGCTAATGGCAGTGTTCGAGCAAATGAACATGACCTCTCCCGACTTCAAACGCCTCTCCAAAGTGATGTGTGGAGATTACAGTGCGGACGCTCTGAAGTATGACCATCATTCAATGGAAGTCCACCAGCGAGGAGTGCTAATAGGTGCTGCCGAACCTACAGAAACCGCTTCAAGACGCTCAACAAAGAAGCTGCAGCTATCTTGCGTGATCGCCAGCGCCATACCGGATCTCGAGAAATGTCAGCTGAGACACTTCACATGATGTCCGGAGCTGTGAACGGTCCAGACGATAACGATGTCCTCGTGGTCCGAGAAGTTGCGTTGCGAAGCGAGCTTACGCCCCCTCCAAGCGAGCCATCCCCGAGTATGCAATCGAGACGCTGTCCTCCGCAGACACAGAGAGTTATGCCGGAAGTTATCACGCCAAATTCTCATTCTTCCAGCATAGGTCGCCACGCCCAGAGCAACGGCGTACAGTATCAGCAGCACTCGAGTTTGAACTACGATCAAAATGTGCACCCTGCACGCCGTCCCCAGTGCTCCCACGATACAACCTCCCCAGCTCGGCCGTACAATCATCCTCGTAACTCTCCTCAAATAACGTCAGGCGGACGTGATTTTCCTCGCAGACAGCAAGATCGGAGCTGGGATCAGAGCCACAGGACCAAGAATACTGGTGGAAGGCCTTTCAAGCCGCGAAATCAGAACAACCGTCATCGCAATATGCCCCAGATGACCCGAGTCGAAATAAATCATGGACCTGTACATACCAGATTCTAAAAGTGAAGCATTTGCGTCTTGATGCATGTATAGAATGTTAGCGATGTATTTATTGCGAGAATATGGTACTCTGTTTGTATAATTAGGGACACTTCGAAGTCATTTTTTTCTGGATTACATTGATTCAACATAGAGCTCCTGATGGACAGCACGGTCAGCTTCTATTTATGTTCATTTGATGGGAGTCAGGTCCTTCTCCTGTCTACATAAGCATACTGCTGTTCGAGAGCGCAAACGGGCAAACTTGCCAGGCTTTCATAGGCCGTGCTGTTGAAGCAGTTACGCATACAGTGGCAACATTGACGAATTGTCTACATTACGTGTAGAAGGCTTTTTTTTTTATCGGATGGCACTCAGGAATCACTGGAGTGAATACATCTTCATGATGTTAGGGCTAGACGGAGGAAATATATTCCGGCATAATGTATATTAGCACGGTTGATGATTGCTCAACCTCATTTCTTCTCACTACTAGTACTACTGTTGTTCAGAGGCAATGTTGAGCATGCAGCGCACTACTGTTTCTACTAGCTAGAAATGGTTGTCTGGACACCTTTTCAGCTGAGTGCTTTTAGTGTAGTCGACATGCGATGTCCTAAAGAGGGAAGTCTGGTCGAAAAGATAGGATCTTGGAACTGTAAGTGGGCTATTAGCCTATTGCGTGTTTTCCCTTGGTGAACCTGTTTCCAGATGACAACAGTTGACACCATTTGCTAGTGTGAAATGAGGAGAGACATGGATCGGAAAAACAGGCAGAAGAGCTCTGTAGAGAGAGGCTCTATGTATAGTACGTACTATCTCTCCATACCATCATTCCTGCCTGAGTAGGGAGGGAAAAGAAGGGAATGCCGTGGTTAAGGGGAGCTGACTGGGCCTCAGTGAATCCCAGCATGGCCATGAGTGAGTGATCAACTTAGGCCAAAAGATATTCTCAGCGCCAGCAATGCGGCTGCGCATGGGAATGCAGCAGGTGAAGTGCCATACTATGCAGCCCACAATGGAAAATTTTCACATCTTTCTCTCGGCGCTGGTTATTTAAACCAAGCTGGGCGTCTTCTGCTTTTCTCTCTTTCAAATACTCAACCATCATATCATAGCAGATCTTTGATCGTTCACAACACATCATTTGATCGATTCAATATCACCAATCGCCAATACAAACGATGGCTAAGAGAAAGGGCCCTGAAGGCGAAGATGACAGCGCCAGTCATCAGCAAAAGAAGGGCCCTGGAAGAGAACGCGGTGGAAAGAAGCGAAAGACTCCGTCGTCTGCACCCGATCAGACTACCTCAGCTGCTGCAGATGGCTCTGTGTTGCCCCAAACCCAGGAATCTCTAGCGTCCAGTTATCAGGAGTTGCAGACCCCAGAAACTCCCATCCAGCAGCCTTCCAAATTTTGGACCAACGAACTTAGGATCGCCTTGCTTGTCGCAGTTCTGAAGGAACTCGATCACACAATTTCGGAGAAGACTTGGCACCAGGTTGCTGAAAACCTCAAACTAATGAAGCCTAACATCTCTTGGAATGGCGCTCGGTAAGTCTTGTTTTCTACAATGCGTGAACACATCACCTTGACTATTTCTCCCTTCTGAGAGTTCATCTCCGCTCTTGTGGAAAGATTCTACACACACTGTGACCATCCTTCGCGACCTGGGATTGCTGATAGATTTAAAGCTTGGAGTTCGGCCGTCTCAGAAGACAAAATTTCCCCAATACTACGCCCGCCCCGAGCGGCCGACATGACAAGCTCGCTCAAAACTCGAAGGACGAGGATTAAGAGCCCAAGGCAGTAGCTCCCTACAATTGGTAAGTACGTCTCGATCTGACGGCGCATTTAAGCCTCCCTGACAGGTGCTGGCCAGGCAAACTCTCTCAATCACGATGAGGATAACTTATGAGCGGCATGATCACCGCCGCCTCCCTCGTTCCACAATGTTTTACCGGCAGTAAAAGGATCATTTACGCGAAGATGGGTTGGGGATAGTTATTATGAAGACAGATATCTTGCACAACTCCTAGTTCTTGGCTTTGTATCTTGAAGTCCGTTGTTTGCTTGTCTTTTTATGTACCACCGTGGCCATGATTGCATCAGAAACGTATCTGAAATGTTAGATCCGCAGATAATAAGTACTTGGAAACCCGCGGGTACCATTTTTCATTGCAGCAGCTGCCATACTTTCGTTGTCGATGTTGATGATGTCGCCTGTGGGGCATGACTAATATGCGAATCGACAAACTCTCAAACTCTCCTTTCTTCGCACACGTCGGTCACTGCAGTTTCTTTTCTGCCACTTGAGAGTCTTGAAATATAGCGCTGTTAACCCATCAAAGCCTGGGAAAATGTCGTTGGTTGCAGTAGGGGCATGCTATGTTGACACAATCTTGACGTTGGTTGAAACTCGTCCCCCACATCGTTGACAAACCAACACCAGCTTACCATCAATGCAGAACTCCTCACTACCCGGGAGAAGATGAGAAGTTGCGTGCTTCTAGTATCTCTCATCGCCGCGGAGGAAACTGTCCAAATACCTTGGAGGTGCTGCAGCAATTGATAGCACACAGCAAATCAGCCTCAAAAGTCTCACTGAACCTTGTCGCAGTTCTGCCCGCAAAGGCATCTGTTGCATCGCAGGAGATTTTGGCAGGCTTTGGACCCGGGGTTCAACTCGAGCATTGCATATATCGTGAACAATTCAATGAACCAGCATCGAGTTATATCATTAAAAGTCAAGCCTCCGGAAGCAGGACGATTGTCAACTACAATGAGCTCCCGGAAATGACCGTTGAGGAATTTACAGCAATTGCAGATAAGATTGGCTCCAATGCCACTTGGTTTCACTTCGAGGTCAGCAACTTTCATTCTCTGTGAAACGTTCAGGATACTCATGTTCTATCTGCAGGGTCGGATACCAGAGGTAACATTGGCGTGCATCCGTTATCTACGTCAATCCTACCCTTCAATTAAGATCAGCGTCGAAGCAGAGAAACCTGCGCGGCCGGGTCTTCAGGAGCTTGCGAATGAGGCTGACGTGGTTTTCTACTCGAAGAGCTGGGCTCATGTATGAGCGCTTCCTACAACCATCATATGACCTCTGAGGCAAAATCTGCTAAACTTTGTCCAGGGGCAAGGCTACGCATCGGCCGAGGAATGCCTTCGAAAGCAGTGGCCCATGACGCGCAATGCGTAAGAGAGTCCTTAGGCCTTATCCATGCGTGTAGTGTTGACTGATATACTTCCATCAGGTCTTTCCTGTGTTGTACGTGGGGAGAAGACGGGGCTGTTGCTCTAGATACCCAAGCCGGTGAACTGTTGCACAGTCCTGCGTACACAGCGCCAGACTTTGAGGTCGTTGAGTAAGTCGATCTCCTGAAGGCATTTGACAGAAATACTGATCAATGCAAGTACTATCGGAGCTGGTGATACATTCATAGCCGGATTGTTGTATGCTTGGCTCTGCCAGGAAAATTGGAATCTCGCGACGAAGATACACTTCGCGAACCGGGTTGCGGGCATGAAAGTGGGACAGGAAGGCTTTTCTGGTCTGGACAAGGCACTGGAGTCATTTTGAGAACAAAACGTTCAGAGAACGGGCAGTATCTGGTTATACGAGCGTGTGTGTCTCAACAAAGTGCAAGAACAAGTGTTAGAATGGGACGGCGCCAACTGTCAGGCGCCATGACGGGAAGAAGCACATCTGCTCCATACGAGGCGACCAGCTCTTCTACGAGCCTAATACGACCTTTCAAAATGGTCAGGTGAAGTGGTGAGGCGTGGCTGTCCCATGCCAGAACACTGACATCCAAGATATCGAGGCCCGAGACAGTTAGGTCACCCTGCGTTTAACTCAGCTCCTATTTGCTCAAAGACCTGATGACACTGGAAAGCTTTCTTTCATTTTCCTTGCTCTTTGTAAACAAAATTCGAGCGATTTCCACGCTGCCCCGTGCGGCCGCGAGATGCAAGGCGTACTGGTACGCCCGTCGGCGAGGCGGGCAACTAGGCGGGCACCGTTGTCCACCAAGTCTAAAAGGATCTCTGGAGTAGCTGTCATGGTTGCCAAATGAAGCGGGGTACTTGGTATGAACGTCCTCGCACTCTTTCCAGAGTGATTCCTTCAGATTTGCTTAATCCTTTGAGCATATCTGCTGGATTCTCTTGATACAACATAGCTGAGCTGCTTCAGTTATCTTTAGCTTTTGTTAGAATCTCATTTAGAATATAACAGACTTCAATAGCCTTTGTATGCGCCAGATTATCAGCCCATAATCATGGTTCCTTGCCGAAACTTTCCCCCTAGCTAATCGATGATTAGAATTTCCGCGAAGGAGAACACTAAGCTTCACCCAAATACTAAATTATGACAGGTCCATGCGGTTGCTAAATCAAGGGCAGCTATCTGACAGACGATTGCCCAGAGAAGGGCATAGAGAATATTCAAGAAGAGAGATTGTCCCAAATATGGCATCTGTGCTGTAGTACACGGAAAATCCAACTTGGCGATTGGTAGCAAGGATCGTTTCAACCGGCGTCAGAAACACAGAAACGGTGATAATCGAGCATATCAAGGCCTCTCTGTATGGGCATGCCAAGCACTTTTATCTGTGGTTAGCGCACGTGACCTTGTACTTCAAAGGCGGTGAACTCTAAAAAAATATTCTGCCTGCATCTTTTCGGTATTCTCGTGGAGCTTTTCTCAGTGACGATCAGGAACCCAAAAAGCTCAACCGAACTATTCTATTCCAATCATAATGGCTGCCGTCTACAAAACAGTGTCTAAGAAGAAGTCTCGGCAAATCACCGAAGATCAGGATGAGGTAGACATGGAAATGGAAGAGCTCCTCGCTGGAGCCGACGATACAAGCGACAGCGACGAAGACGAAGATGAGCACACTGCGGAAGCGGCCAAGAAGCAGCTCGCCGCTGGATTCATGCCGAAGACTCGTGTCCTTATGTTGACTTCAAGAGGTGTGACATATCGGTATGTTCAGGATTTGCTAGCGACCCCGGACTTGACCTTCTCAGACACTGACGAGCGATTCTAGCCATCGGCACCTGCTCTCCGATCTCTGCTCTTTGCTCCCTCACACGCACAAAGAAAGCAAATTAGATACAAAAAAGAAGACGGCCGGCTACAATCTACTCCTGAACTCCCTCGCAGACCTCCACTCGTGCAACGTCATTTTCTTCCTCGAAGCACGCAAGCGCGGTCAAGATTTGTATCTGTGGCTGGCTCGTCCTCCCAACGGACCTACGATCAAGTTTCACCTCACCAACCTGCACACTATGGGTGAATTGAACACTGGATTTAGCGGCAACTGTTTGAAGGGTGGCCGTGGAATTGTAGTTTTCGATCAGTCGTTTGACGAACAGGGTCCTGTTATGAGCAGCCCTGGAAATGAGTACCGCGGATTGATCAGAGAAATGCTACGTGGAGTTTTCTGCGTGCCCAAGCGTGGTGTCAAGGGCATGAAGCCTTTTGTTGACCGCGTCATCGGTGTCTTCGGCGTGGATGGCAAGATTTGGATTCGCGTCTATGAGATTAGAGAGTCCGAAGGTGGAGCCAAAAAGGACGACGAGAAGAGCAAGCCCACGCCCAAGGGCAAGAATGCTCAACCTGAGATTTCGCTCGTTGAGATTGGACCTCGCTTCGTCCTTACGCCAATCGTCATTCTTGAGGGCAGTTTCGGTGGCCCTGTCATCTACGAGAACAAGGAGTATGTGAGCCCCAACCAAGTCCGCAGTGAGATTCGTGTGAGCAAGGCGGCGCGTTACGCGAAGCGTCGGGATGTTCAAACCAACTTGATTTCGAAACGCACTACGTTGGGCTTGGCAGAAGGCGAGAGAAAACCAGGTCCTCTCGACACCAAGAGCCTCTTCTCTTAAAAGCTCTTAAGGTCATCATGATTCTGATTCCGGTCCACTTGTCGTTTCCGTCTCTTTTTTTCCATGAGCATTAGACTTGATATCCTGAGGGGATGTACATGTGATGCGAGGGGTACATTGTTTCGGTCATTCTAAGGCGTCTAGGTGTGCAAGATAATTTAAAAGTTTCGTATGCTCTCCATCCTTGGATTTGGTGGCTCTATTCCCAAATTCCGGTTAACTTATGTAGCATGCAATAGAACATTACATCTAGAGAGACTTGTTTTGTTTCCCAACAGAGGGACGGACGAACTCGCTTATTCGTCGAGAAAGGATACATGTATGGAAACAAGAATCATCCGAGGCAATCATAGTTATCCCAAATATTTGACAACATTTCGACCCAACAGTGAGGGGAATTTTGGTAAAGCAAGGGGCGCAGATTAGATAAGCGGGGTGTATAACTAGTTATAACTTGGGGTTGGACCTCCTGTATAGACATACTCCAACTTTCTCCGTCCACCATCATGGCGGCGCATTTGCCATCCAGTCGTTCGCGGCTGCGGGATACTCGTTTCGCATCAGCTACGATGTTCTTCAGTATGCTTGCTCTAAATCAGATCGCTTTCTCTTCTGTCAGCCCCAACGGCGGGGTTTGCACCTAAATTCATACCCTTGTTTGCGACGACGGCGGCGGCGTTGACTCATTGATATCAAGACGCTGTCAAGGCTGGCGCTTCTCCCGGTCTTCACGCATACTGGGTTCTAAACTGTTTACGAAGATTTCTATTAGGTACTTCAGAAATTACACACTGCTCTCCCGTTTGCTGTGCTGACATGTTACTTGGTAACAGAATATATCACCCTCATATCGATGGATCGTCTGGCAACGGAGCTTTTGCTCCATATATTTCGCTCTTGCGAGAGCGTTTCTGATGTTCTCAATCTTGCATCGACCTGCCGATGGCTTCGCCGTGTCTTCAACCAATCCCACAAGCTGCAAATTCTTATTGATGTCGCGGAATACGAGTTTGGACCTCTAGACGAGATCGTCCAGCTTGTAACACACAATGCAAGCCAACCAGCACACATCATCCGCCGAGTTCCCATGTCCGAGTCGCTTCTCCGACAGGTAGTGCAGGTCGGACTCATCGCACGGAATTGGGAGGCGATCTACCCGGTCAAGAAATGGAAGGTTGATTTCGAGAATCGGCGCTCCCTAACTGACGATGAACGGTTTCGGTTGCGCCGTGCTATTTATCGCTTGTGGCTATATCATCGCGCTTTCCATACCTTCAACTTCGACCGTTTCTCGCGTAAACTTCGTCACGTCGTTTCTGAGCGTGCGCAGCTTCTGCACAACTGGTCCACCGCTGAACTGGCCGAGGTCGAGGACATTCGGCTTATCATCACTGACATCGTGCAAAATCACATTTGTCCCAGCAACGGGACTATCCAGCGCAAGTTCCGCAAGCGGTATCCCGAGACCAATCACCAGCTATCATTTAATATTCATCTGAACTATCCGAAAACGAGTACCCCTGCGGGAGTACACGAATGGCCTGACAAGGCTGACCACACAGTCAATCAGTACTTCTATTCCGCTCACCCCACAAATATCACTGCATCACCCGCGAAGTACAGATCGAGATTCCGCAATGACTTCTTTCATGACCCCGGCTTCGAAGGTTGGGGGGATGAAATTCCGCATTATTACGTAGTCCAGGATATGATGAAGCTTGACCCCGGGCAGGTCCTCTGGTTGCGCGAACATGCGCCCATGAAAGAGCAAGTTGAAGCCTTCATACGGTCCTTGGGCGATTGGTTTCGTGATAACGGAGAGACATTCGGAGATACTCTTGAGTGGGTGATGAATGAGCGCGGTGATGATATTGAGGAGTTTCGGGCTGCGATAGCAGATCGGGAACTGGGAATCGTGTGGTCTTAGTTCTACTTTAGACTATTTCATGCATAGCATTCTAGAAATTGCATAGTTGAAGTTGTTGAGGTATATCAGGTGCACTATTCGAGGTGTTAATGCACGAGGCGATACGCGTACTGGACGTCCAAGGACGCCAGTAAGCCTAAGCCATTGCAGATCCCCTGCAAGCCCGTGAGATCTTCCCATCAAGTCATATCTGACTCCCCTAATAATATCTTAGCCTCACAGGATATATCTAGTGCATGTTTGCCCAACATGACAGTCGACACTTGACACCGAGGCTATCCGCATCTGGAGACGAACACCAGAGTCTGGACTTTCCCAGCCTCTGACCGACTCGCTTGCACCACCACCCCTGAGAAGCCGAACGAATCGCGCCAACCTCACTCTAGATAAGTCAGAAAGGGTCATGAAACTCGAGCTAACTAGTGAGACTTGCGCGCACGAATGAGCAGTGCCTGGGTGGGGACTGGGGAGTCGCTACGGACTAGAATCCTCGCTTAGTCAAGGGCTTAGTAGACCTGAGTTGAAGCTTGAAGCTCAACTTGTTCGTTCATCGCAGATGATAATAAGCTCGAGCGGTGACTATGACTGCTCCGGCAATAATAGACCACTTGAGGCGACGGATTCGGATTATGGAAGGCGAGGAGAGAAGCTGCCGTCGGGGAATTTCATTGTTGTGATTTGTGAATAGCGTACTGGCGTCGCGTGGGTCACTCCACTGTTTAGGAAGGTGGAGCCTAGGCCCACTAAATGTCGATGCTAATTTACAGTTTAGTCTACATCACGGGCTGAGGGCCTGAGGCTCGCAAGTCACAAAGTCAAGTCGTAACTGCAGTTCAAAATGCCCCGATAATTGATATCTATCTAGAACAATGATTGAGAATTGCGAAAGTAATGTTGGAATGACAATTTGAACCCATATCGCCGATCCAATGATTGCATACAACCCACCCATCCTCTTCGACGCCTGTGAACAGAACTGCCTTCAAAGGACCATCATTGTCATACCAAGGACAAGCGAACAAGAAGCGATGAGGGACCTAACAAAATAAAGTCGTGAAAGACAAGGGCAGAAAAGGAAAGCGTCCGGAAGAAAAAAGAGTCAATTTCAAGTTAGGGCGAATAAGGACAGAAAAGGGAATAGAAAGAAGTCGACAGCATAATGTCCTGGGAGTAATGATCGCCTACAGTGCCCATGTCCCTGAATTGCCGTTCCCAACGTTCCTCTTGTGTATCATATCCGGGGAGGCTAAGTAACAGACAAAAAGAAAGATCAAGACCATTCAATTATCACATTGCAGAGTAAAAAGTCGTTCGGACAGGCGTGGCTTCCCTTACAGCAGCATATCCGGCGATTTCTAACAGCAGCCTTGCTTCGACTCAGTATCCGGAGCCTTGCTGACTTCAATCGTGCGGCCACTGCTAAGGGGGGCTTGTCCGGAGTCACCATTATCCAAAGCCTTGCTGGAGACGATGCGGTAGATTTCTAGTAACATGTGAGTCCAGTGAGACAAGAAGCCATGAATAGAGGGAGCGAACCTGTGAGGATGTTTTGGAAAGCAAGCTCAACATTGCTTGCGTCGAGCGCAGATGTTTCGATGAAAGAGAGGTTGTTCTCGCCTGTTGCGTTGCCGAGAAAATGTAAGTAAATCAATGCCCGAGTGGCTGCCAGGACAATGAACGTACTCGCAAATTGCTTAGCCTCATCTGTTGGCACAGCGCGAAGGTGTCTCAAATCACTCTTGTTCCCGACGAGCATGATGACGATGTTGGAATCGGCGTGGTCACGGAGTTCCTTCAACCAGCGGTTGACATTGTCGTAGGTCTGGTGTTTGCTGATATCGTACACAAGAAGGGCACCGACGGCGCCACGGTAATAGGCAGATGTAATGGCACGGTAGCGTTCCTGACCGGCAGTATCCCAAATCTGCGCCTTGATTGTCTTGGAATCCACCTGGATTGAGCGGGTTGCGAACTCGACACCAATGGTAGACTTGGAGTCTAGGTTGAACTCGTTGCGGGTGAATCGACTCAGAAGGTTGGACTTGCCAACACCGGAATCACCAATAAGCACCACTATTCAAACGGTCGCCCAGATTAGTTATCGGGTCTGTTGAGGGGAGCATGATGCCGAAAACATGAAACTTGCGGCGACTGCGCGGGGAAAGTGGCAACATTACCCTTGAAGAGAAACTATCCCGAATACTCAGATTAGTGACATAGAAAGCTTGGCGTAGATAGTGGGCGATAGAGGAGTTACTCACATCATATTCATCGTTAGCCATGGTGGGTAAGTAGTATGTGAGCTAATACGCTCTACGAAGAGTTTCTGAGATTCGACGTGGCTGACTGGAGGTCGTAGGAACTGTAAGGGACAGCGGGATCAAATTAAGCCCTGGGGACGCAAGACGGTCAGTTCTAAAATCGATGAACAGCCATAGATGCGAAAGAAATTGCAGATAAAAAGGTAACACTTACAGGGAAAAAGACCAAGGTGGGAAGAAAGATAGGAGTTATCCTGATGCCTCTGGGGATGAAGCGTCCTTGTCTCCCTACTGCTTCCCGGGCTTGTTGCGGTGCCGAGTGGACGCTGCCTATTCGGGCCTAGTGACATACCACGTGACTGTCCCTTGTGCGTGTGCCACTCCCTAGGTGTTGTGACCTATAAGAAGATGCAACGATGTTGACGTTTTCTTCATCTGTTGAACAGAAAGATAAGTTCCTTAAGAAGCGACTCAGAAGAACGATTCTTCCTGATGTGCTCGTTGCCATCTTCTGTCGTATTCTCAAACGAAGCTCTCTTTCCCGTTCGATTCTCTACTTAATGGTTTGAAACAGCCAAAAGGAAAATCAAACACTTTACAGCCCATGAGACTTCAGAACGTCATGGTAGACTCTGTCACTTCGCCTTGGCATCTTATCATCCGGATTGAACTACATCCATCCTGCGTCGGATCATTTTAATATAGAGTCTTTTGGGTCCTTTTGTCTCTCATTACCATTGCTCTAAATTTCGCTATCTCGCTTCTGTATGCTCAGATGGGAAAGACCATTGCAGCTTGATGTCGACATGAGCGACGAGGACGATATCTCGATTACTTCAACTGCACCCAGTGAGCAGGAGTCTGAATATGAAGTGGAAACTATCTTGGCTGAGTTTGAATTTGACGATGGCATCAAATATTTGGTGAAGTGGGCCAATTACCCTATTGAACGATGCACATGGGAACCCCCCCAATCCTTTTGCAATGAACAGACATTGATCGACTGGAATAAGAAGAAAAAGGCAATTGCAGAAGGAAAGCGTCCAGCATTTGATATTGTCAGGTTTGAAAATCATCTAGCTGCCCTTGAGAGGGCAAAACATGACAGGAAGCAAAGAAGAGCCGCAAAGAGGAGACGTCTGGGGCTGGACGGACAAGAGCAAAGTCATCCTACTGTGGAGAGCCCTCCGAGTAATAACGTGCCTGACCCAAGGATTCCTGATGGTATTGGCTCCAGTGATATCGAAGTCGACAGATCAAAGGCTTCATCCGGACAAACTCCCCGAACGAATGCCAGCGCAGGAAGTGCGCAAGCTCAAATTCATCAACTTCCAAAAAGACCACCTCCCCCTATCTTATTCGGAACTGCCCCGGCTCCCACCCGCGCGAAAAGGATGAACAGTTTTGAGACGCCAAAGTTGTTCAATTTGTCGACAAGATGGAAGTACGAGAAGGCGAAAGCTTATGAGCCACCTCCTGATATGAACAAGCTGCAACTCATTCGGCCATCCGACTGGCCAGCCAGGACTGGGCTCGCTGCGACAACGATAGGGCGGCACAGCGTCAGCTCACCTAGCAGGAAGAATGACGCCAGTACCGCTAGGCTCGGATCTCATAATATGAGCTCATCCGCGAAGGATGGGCCAAGCTCGGCGGAGCTAGGTCCTCATGGTGTTAGCTCGCCAAAGCAGGGTGACTTGAATAGCGTAAAGATTGGATCGCACAACGTTAGCTCATCGAAGCAATTCAATGCAGGTCCGGTGAAACTAGGCTCGCATAATGTGAGCTCTCCTAAGCCGGTTGCTTCGGGGAGACTAGGCACGCATAATGTCAGCTCGTCAAGCGGAATCAATGACACTACATTGGATCCAGAATCGCATGATGTCGGTTCGCCAATGGACATTGATTCGGATAATGAGACTCAGGGCCAAATTGGCCAAATTCGGGAGAGTTGGGCCTTGAGTTCACCGAAACGCGCACAGTATGGGTCATACAAGCCGAATCGCAGCGTTCCAGAGACATATAGACCAAGGTGTGGTGCGGATACGTGGAGACCTGACCGACCACAGCCAGATAGCTGGAATCCAGGCCAACCTTCCGGTCACTGTCTGAGACCGAATACTGACTCCCCAATCCATCGCCATGAACTCGAAGACTATCCGATACCCAAGCTTCCAACGAGGGAACCAAAACCAAAGGCCCACTTCGTCAACAACCGCCAAAATTTCTGGAACCCTGGTGAGCTCCTTGTCTATCTTTATTACGGCCCAGAGAAGAAGGAAATTGGTTCGGCCAGGCTATGTGGCCTGAATTCGGAGAGTCGAAACTGGCTCATGTCTACCAAATGGGGCGGTCGAATCCATGTCTGGTTTCAACATACATGTAACCTGAAAGAGTATAATGTCCTATGTGAGAACACGGTAAGTCAACTTCTTTGACTTTTCTTCCCATTCGCTGCGAAGTCTCTGCCAAGATTTGCTTCTTCTACTTTGCGGTCCGGTTTTGTTTACTCCCGTTGGAGCGCTTGTTGCTGACCGGAGGCAGAAAAGCAATCAGAAGTACTCCGATGGTTGGATAGAAGGGTTCGATGATACAGAGCCGAGCATCTACAGAATTGGGGAAGAACTTCGTCGTAATGAGCTTGTGGCCATATTATATCCAGCTCCAGACAACAGGATGCAGAAGGTGTTACTTGCCTATTCCCCGAAGTCGTCAGACTTTGCGTTTCTCAATGCAGATTCTGCCCATTCTAGAATCCCTGAAGACGTTTTCCTAAATGTCGCAGTCCGAAGCCCGTTGCAAGGGTTTGACACCATCACTGCTCGGCGTGAAAGAAAACAGCTTCACGCTGAGTCGCACCAGCCAGTACGCCTCGCACTCATAACTCCCCAAGATGCTCCAAGCAGAGCTCGGCCTACCGGAGCTGTGGCTGCTCGGCCTCCTTCTGTGGGCGTTCCTGATGTTTCAACTCCAGGAGCTGGGAGACGCGCGAATGAAATATCCAACCTTCGCATTCGAAAGTCGACGGACAGCAAAGTCATGACACCAAAAGCATCTGAAGCGTTAGAGGTGACAAAACCATTCGATACAGCAAATGAGTCAGTCTCAACAGACACAACTAGTGTAACCCCCAAAATTTCAACTCAAACCCCTGGCGCACACAACTTGCAAGCGGCACCCCAGAACACACCACGAGAATTAGAGCATGCGAATTTAGCCGTACAGGATCCCGCACAAGAGACCAACGCACTATTATCAACACCGCAGGCTCCATTGCCAAGACAAAGGACTACGCAACCAGCAACTGAGACCTCATCTATGACCTCTGAGGCTCGAACAGCGCCGGAGGCAGACCCTGGATTTCCTTCCCGCCTGAAACCCGATGCGAGCATGGCTCAGTCTATTGCAGGTGATGTTAGATCGCTGTCGCAGCCGTCTGAGAATACTCTTGATCTGGATGCGGTCTTCAAAGAACAATTTAGTGTCACCTATGATCTCTTGGCGACCGTGAACGATGCTGAGAAGCCGACGAAGGCTCAAGTATTCTACTTGATGTTTCCTGCCGGGTCCGAAGTAGTGCAGGAAGAGTACGAAGTTATGCACAAGTTTCTGAGAAAGCACAATGCTGTGACCTATTCAAATCGCCTTCCGGAAGATTGGGAGAGATTTGCACGCACGATACATAAGGGGGTTGTCTTGGTTAGTCAGGAAGCACCATTCATTAATAATCCAGCAGCTGCGCTGACTCAATGAAGGCTCATGAAAGCTTTATGGATTATCATGCCCTACCTTTCATCAAGGAGCTGATCCATCGAAACGTCAGCTTCTGGAGCCTTTCTTTAAGAAAGCCACTACAATACGTTGACTACCCCACGTATTTCCAACGTGTATTCCCTCATGGCGGTGTCATCCTAATCACAGAAGACTTCATGCTTAGGGACCCAGACGCCACGCTCATCATCCTGGCGTGGCTAAAGGATTGGATAAAGCAGAAATTCCCAGGGAGTTGGAAGGTCATGTTCCGTCCAAATATCCTGGACTGGCTCCTCAAGCAACCTGAATTGAAAGATCCATCCAGGCAGGGAATGTAAGTCCCTTATGTAGCCTTGTCGCTTTCTCCCCTCTAACCTGGTATCCCAGATGGTTGAGCATGTATGCTCTGATTCTTCAATTAAACAGTCGCGTGGCAGGCTCAGAACGGCCAGGTGCAAACATTCTCAGCGGCGCCAGCGGTGAGCATAATGAAGATCCTGTGATTTCACTTGACGCCATCCCACTCTATGGGTCGCGCACCGAAGATGATGACGCGAGTATACCGAAAGGCCTTACACAGGAGCAAAGGAATACCGACCACCTTGGAGAATTTTTCGCGGGTTGGGCAATAGTCAACAACCACAGGTTCAGACGGTTCGTCATGCTCACGGCAGTGAAACCTCTACCGAGATGGGAAGCCTGGCAACATATTGAGATCAGATATGGTGCAAAAGATTTTATGAAGGCCTTCAACATCAAGTACAAGACGTACTGGGACAAAGTGAGGCCTAGGCCAGGGAAACCAGGTCTGTTGTCAGAGTTGAAATCCCAAAACCAGAATCCTGCCTATACACCCCGGACACCTAGAGCGAATGGTCCTTCAGCTGATGAGCTGGATGTCTCAAGGGTCAGCGGGTTTTCTCACGGCCCTTCGAGGCTGAAATACCCTCAACCATACCAATGAACTGACATGATTTGCTTTACTCTATCCTTGAAGGACTGGTTTCATAACCTTGTTTTTATGCCCTTTGGTTCAAGGGGCAATTGTCGCATCAGATACCCATGTAGTAACAAGGTTTTACATCAAACATCAACAGAAGAATGGCCAGTGACCAGAAAGACACTGAGAAGAGACATGAGTCCTATCCTTCGCTAGATTCCAAAATTCCCCAAACGCCGTACGAACTTAGCATATAAAACCCAATCGCTCTGCTTGAAGTTGGTATGGTCAAATCCATGACTAGGTAGGCATCGCGTGCCGGCATCATATATATAGTCAGAACCCTCTCAAGCGACCGTCAGGTCACACAGCATATCGCGCTTAAAAACCCGCTGCACGAGTCCGGTACTCTCGAAAATTGGCGATACTAGGTTGATTCTCAGTCCCTTGGCCCTTTGTTTTCTCTTTGTCGCTCTTCTCCTTCCGCACCTTCTCCTCCCACTTGCTCTCCTCGGCTGCAATCAAGGAATGGAAACGGCCGCCCTGGCCTCGGGAAAGGTACATCGGTTTCTCCTTACGATCTGCTACGGCCTCTGTAATGAGCACAAACTTGACGCTTGACCCGGGTGTCTCGAACATGGCATCGCTTAGAATATTTTCCATCTCCGTACGGAGGGCACGTGCTCCGGTTCCCATTGTGAAGGCATTAGCAGCGACCTTGTGCAGGGCTGGGGTTGTGAAGCGAAGCTCAATGCCCGAGAGTGAGAAGAGGGTTGTGTACTGCGCAAGCAGTGAGTTTCGGGGTTCTGTTAGAATCCGGATGAGTAAGGGCTGAGACAGTGCGGAGAGTGCAGCGGTGACCGGGATACGGCCTACTAATTCCGGAATGAAGCCGTAGTTTTGCAAATCTGTAGGGTTGAGGAGGTCCAGGGCGTTAAAATAGGCTGGTTCACCGTCTGGTGATGTGGGTGAAGCCGCTGTGAAAAATGGCAGGTGTTTCTTGTACAAGGCTTCTTCTTCGGATCCTGGTAGGATGGGAACAGGCTGGTTGGATGCAGTAGTGAGCGGATCTCCAGGTCGCTGAGTTGGACTTGACTGTGAGCGGACAGGTTGGCCGAATCCCATCGATCCGTGCGATATCCGGTCCATGATGATCTTATGTAGTCCCACGAATGCGCCTGAGAATATAAATAGAATGTTATCCGTGCGCACGTTGTATATTTCCCCTTTCTGGGGGGCGTTTCCTGTAGGAGATTGCGAGAACGGAGAGTTCCCTAACGGGCTGTTCGATGGGTATGAGTTCGGGGTACCACTTGTTCGGTGAGCATTCCTCTCCTGCTTCGCTTGAACTTGGACTGTTGTGCCCTCGATTATTTTAAGCAGTGCCTGCTGCACTCCTTCGCCACTGACGTCCTTTCCATGACTGACTTTGGCGGCCGCTATCTTATCCACTTCATCCAGCACGATAATTCCCCGCTCGGCTTGCTCCACGTCGTAGTTCGCAGCCGCCAGAAGTCGGTGAACACATGCCTCCGCGTCCTCTCCAATATATCCGGCCTGCGTGAACGGCGTACAGTCAGATATGCTGAATGGCACCGAGAGAACTCTCGCAAGTGTTTTGGCCATCAATGTCTTGCCCACCCCCGACGGTCCTAGTAAGAGAATGTTGGATTTCTCCAATTGAAGTGGAGACGAATCGCTAAGGAGTGCTTCATCGGGACTGGACGTCGTTGATTTCGGGTTGAGAGTTGAATGGACAGTGCGTTGCTGGCCTGGAAACTCATCTTTTCAATGTTTAGCTTGATTTGAGAAGGATACAGGGGGGTACAAGGCTTACCCTCTGCAGGATGATGCTCCAATGCTTCTCTCCGGGCTCGCCTTGCTAGCAACTCCGCATTCTCCTCCTCCCTTCGTTGAAGCTCTTGTACTCGTTGGTAATGATTGAAAACAGCAACACTAAGAATTTTCTTTGCTCGATCTTGTCCAACCACAAACTGATCCAGATATTGTTTCAATGTCTTGGGTGTGATGCGAGGAGCTCCAAACGCCGGAGCAGACCCCAAAGGACCAGCCGTTGGTAACCCAGCTTCATAGATGCCAGACCAGGGCTGGTTTGTAAAATCTGACCTATTAAACTCGGAAGATGTGGGAAAAGATTGAGCAGAAGATGCAAAACCGCGGTTTGCCCGACAAGTCTGGCAGATAGCTACATGCCGATAACGGAGCAGGGAACTGCGATATGCTCTTGAGGCACATTTAAGGCCATGAGCGCGAACAGGTAGTCGCAGCATCACCAGGCGCCAGATTATCTAGAAAGATCTCAGGAGGAATTCCAATGTAGATAAGTGTATAGAGCAAGTGAAGTCTAAGAGCTCTGGCGAAGCAGCGAGGGTGACGCTGATAAGATGGGGATCGATAGCTTTCCCCGCAGCACGTGAGCGATATATCGGCCGACGGTATCCGACGGGCCGTCGCGCTGCGATCATTCTACCTAAGAAGACAGCTTCCATGAAGTCTAAATGGCAGTGAAATGGCAGCACATGAGTTCAAGAAGGAAAAGGAAGGATTCCTACAAATGATCTGATAGTTGAAGCGAAGGCGAAGCATATGTTTTAACCGTGCCAGAAGGAAGGAAACCCCAGAAGCCAGACGAATCATTTCTAATATTTTCAGAAGTATTCTCGACACTATCTCGTGCTGCCATTTGTCATTGTGCGTAATGACTATCATGTTCAAGGTTGGCTAGAAGTGCAGCCGATACACGGATTCGAGATTCAGCCAAATACCAGGGGTCCAGTCTTGAGTCTCTCAATTGAGATTTGAGTTGCAACAAGACTGAGAACCATTCCCCTGAGGTGGTTCTAATGCGGATAATGAGCCTTATGAGCACATCCTATGGAACATTAGCAGCGCCTGCTTCGCCAAAGCAGCACTTCCACCGACTGGTGAAAGGTTTCCTTGCACAGCTCGCTCCCGGTCCTTATAGGGCATGGACTCTATGACCGGCATAGATTCCAGTTTCTAGGAGGTTGATTGAGGTTGTCATCTGTACAGAACAGGACATGGGTGATTGGCCAAACACCTTCCCGTAGATTCCTGTCGCTATTAAAGTGCGCTCATGGCTTCGTCTTAAAAGCGGGCTGCTGTTCCATTGTCTGTGAGATAAAGTTTCGCAATGCTGCCCACCGATTCGAAGTGGAGCTGGCTTCATTTTGAGGCTCAGCGACGGGTTGCACATTCGTTTGAATGGTCGACATCTGAGCCATGTTCTTCGCGAATCGATCCCGTTCCAGTTTCTCCAGCTTCTGTCTGCGTTTCATGGCACCTGGCTTATGCTGCAAAGTTTTCTGCTTGATGATGTTCACTTGGTTGTTGGGATCATTCATCTCCGTTTCGGTCTCAGGCAATGCATCGGCAAGTGACTCGAGATTGGCAACGAGCTTCTTTGATGCGCGACGCCGCTTAGGGGCCTTCTGAGAGCTCTTCTCAATCTTCGATACGAAGCTGGCATGTTTGATCAAACGCTTATCTCTTTTTGTTGTTCGGAAGTCGTCTTCAAAATAGGCCGAGTTGGTGGATGAAATGGCGCCTTTTCCACTGGAGGGCTTCTTGGTGGTGGTGACTGTCTTTTTGACCGGGCGGATCGGAGCCTTGAGATAGCATACAGGTTAGATATCCACATAAATCGGGGCAACAGGAGCCTTACCATGTTGAAAGCAAGAGAATTGTGTATCCAAGAGTATCAAGCAAACTACGAAAAAGTTGACTGCCTATGATCATCGGAGCTGGAATTCTTTTCTCCTGCTAATCCTATTAGGGGCTAGTGTCGATAACCCCCATGTTCTCGATAAGCCCCTCATTCACCGCCCACATGATTACCTCAACGGTGCGTGATTTTCCCCCTTGCAGTGAGACCTCAAGTGGACCCTAGTCCTGCTAAATCCCCTCCGTCGTCTTTGGTTTGACCCTAACAAATAATCACTACTGGCTTAGCCAACCAACGAGACGTACGGCTACATAGATAGTACCATGCCGACCGAAAAATTGAACACTATCAACTTATGAAATTTCGATTTACCTCAGCACCCTATCCGCCGACTCGGAATCTGGACAGGAAGATCCAAATTCACGGGTACCAAAGCCGCTTTGTCCATTTCGGTCTTACATCAGAGAGCCACCACAAAGTCTCTGATTGAAAGATTTGCCATTCGCCTTGCAGAACTCTGTGGATGCTGTCTCCAGTGCGCCTTTTATCTCGTCGGACCTGCTTTCCTGAGTCTCGTGCCACTGCCATCTTGCCTCGGTACCCGGCTTCTCAGTTCCTAACCACTCGAATCATAAGAAAAATTTCGCCTCTGTCGATCAGTTCAAGGACTTTTAAACCGCTAGTTCTCAGTTCTGTTCGGTTCATGTCTGGTAGCAGTATCGGATCTACCTTCAACAATACGATCGAAGCATCCAAGATGGGCTCTCTATCGCCGCACCCCCGGAAGCACAAGGTCACCGTAGTTGGCTCAGGGAACTGGTATGCTTATGACATGCTGGGTGCGGTTCGAATGCGGAATGGGAAGCTGACTCCATGTTCTTGAATAGGGGCACTGCTATCGCTAAGATTGTTGCCGAGAATACAGCCAGCCACGACTCCATCTTCGAGAGAGATGTTCAAATGTGGGTATTTGAGGAGAAGGTTGAGATCCCCAAGAATTCCCGGCACTACGACCCGTCTTCGCCCTTGTGTCAGGGTCCCCAGAATTTGACAGAGATAATCAACAAGACACATGAAAATGTCAAGTACCTACCCGGAATTGCCCTTCCTGAGAACATCCACGCCAACCCGTCCGTGGTAGATGCTGTGAAAGACAGCACCATCCTCATCTTCAATCTTCCTCACCAATTTATCAACAAGACCTGCGAACAAATCAAGGGCAAAATCTTACCCTATGCCCGTGGCATTTCCTGCATCAAGGGCGTCGACGTGACTGAGGAGGGTGTCAGTCTGTTTTCTGAAACCATTGGCAAGACCC